CACCCTGGGTCTGCCTGTTCTTGGCCTGTCAGCGGTCCGCCCTGTCTGTCTGTAACGTTGCATCAAGTTGGTAACGGCAACACGGGAGCAACCGAAGGTTCGTGTAATATGGGCGTGGGTGGCTCCCATCTGTACCATACCCAAGGCTCGTTCACGTTGTTCGACTGTGAGTCGTGGCATTTCTTTTGTGTGTTTTTTATCACTGTGGATGTCTGACTTGCCGTTGCAAACGTTTTATACCCTTACCCGCACGTGCATTTGCAGTTTTTCACTTTTTCGCGTTTTATCTCGCAAACATGTAACAGACGATTAACATTTTCTGCTTACACTATTGTTGTATTTAGGTTATATGTTTTAGATAGACTTCATCGAAAAAAAATTGATACTTTGTCTGAAATTTATATTTTCAGTTTACCAGCATTGTATCCATTTCACACACACCAAGACCATACACTTACTTTAATATTAACAATAGTACATGATTGTTCCTGGGTTATTTTTGTACTTACACTTAATCAACAATATTTATGCTATTCACGTATATTACAGTATTTTAAACAATAGAGTTAACTTTCCTTTCTAGGACTATATTAGAGTGGCGATGTAGTTTCAGTTTTTCCCCAAGGGTGGACTAAAATCGACTTCGTTATTCCAAATGAAAGCATTCATATTGTACGAGCCATATTCGCTCTGCACAGTTGGTTTTTTTAGACATACCAGACATCAATAACCATTGGTCGAAACATGCCCCGGTTTTGCTTATTGGTTTGTCAGCACTATACCCACAGTTGTGAATGCCTCCCACACGAGACAATAACTGTGATACTGACTGAGAAACCGTTACCCCATTATGAACTTTTACATTCTGTGTCACCATACACACATTGTTTTGGTTGTTGTGTATCGTTGCAGTATAAAACGATATATCTGTGACTACAACAGGAGTAGGTAATAGGTTTGATGTCCGATGCAATTCCCTATTTGGACTTGTACCATTATATTCCCGTTTACACCTGTTTCTTTGTTTGTTTGTTTTTTGTTTGTTTGTTTGTTTAACGGCGCACCCAACAATATTCAACCTAGCCGACGACGGTCTGTAAATAATCGAGTCTGGACGAGACAATCCAGTGATTGACATCATGAGCATCGATCCACGCAATTGGGATACGATGACATGCATCAACCAAGTCAGCGAGCCTGACCACCCGATCCCGTTAGTTGCCTCTTACGACAAGCATAGTCACCTTTTACGGCAAGCATGGGTTGCTGAAGACCTATTCTACCCCGGATCTTTACGAGTCGATAAAAGGGTATCAGCATATGTGAAAATATAGTAATGTGAACCCAATATTTCAAATGTTGGAAACATACGATTATCTTGTTTTAGTACCGGAAATATGAGCATGTCAAAACTATTCAAACACGTGCCCGTGATATCTGGAATGATACATAACCTTCTAAGGCATGAAAACATTTGAAAATTAAAAATTTACCAATGTTTTCCCACCAAAGGAAATGTCCATATTTCAAACCCTAGTAAACTAAGAAATGAGTCGGAAATGTCAGAACTCATTACAATAAAAAGGAATGCATTGTAAATACTCTATGATCAAGTATTTACTGCAGTAGCAACTTTTGAATTCATACTTTGAAATGTATGTAAATTGGTCGCAGCATTTATGACAATGGTGCTTTTGCATACGACAATACACGATGATCATACATTTCTTAAGTATATATAGCTTCATATGAAATAAACGCCCAAAGACGTCCATTGAATGCATATCCTACTGTATTTGCGTTTGTTTCAGTGGTGTAAAATCCGGCTTTTGGTCCTGTTTTCTAGGCTAGTTTCTTTCATATAGTAAACCCCTCATTGCATTGAGTCTATATTGTGCACGATCTGAATTAAATACTATCGCGCGGACTCTTCGTGATAATGAGTAAGGGACATGTTTTTGTGTTTGAGGTATTTTTTAGAATCGGTTGATTTGTAAGATACATCTGTTCAATGTTACTGGATGATATTGTACCCATTACATCTAGTAACAAAATACTTTTATCTTTCATCGCTAAAGTAAACGTTGAACTAAGATGGAGTGTCTGTAAAATATCTATCAGAAATTGTCAATCTTGTTCACTCAGATTCCACAGATAAAAAAAACAATCATCTAAAAATCATTTTCCATTTGTTTTGAAATCCCTGTCGAAATTCAATGCGAATTGTTCACCAAATGTTGAGTACAATTTTTAACTCCAAATAGCCAAGTACAAGTGTTGCTTAAGTAATATATCAAAGTATTATTGTTAAGAATAAATCGATAATGGATTCCAAGGTAATGTCATGCTTGAACGATGTTTAATTATCCAGTATCCAATACCTTTTATGCAGAGATCATGAGGAATGTTTGAATATAAACTAACTGCATCAACACTGACTAACAGAGTTACATTTTCGACTGAGGCGGATAGCTGGTTCAGAAAGTCTTTGATATCTTTTATGTATCTTTTGACACGTTTGGTCACTGATTCTGTGTGAGGGACATTTGGGTGCAGCAATTATTGGTCGTAATCTTAAATCATATACAGGGGGTATCTTGCATAAACAGAATTCAATATTTGACATTACTCTTGAATTTGTGCACTTATGAACTGGGAGGCCATAAAAATTACTTTCTCTTGATTCCTAATTAACTAAATAATCCTCTTCGTTTTTAGTTAGGCATTAAGAATGTGAATATACTAATCTTTTATGATTAAGTAATTCAGATTTCTCCAAACTGTCTGAAAGTTTTCTGTAACGAGATTCATCTTTTAAGACATCTAATTAGAGCTCTTGGTAATAATTGTTGTCCATATTATAGCGCCTCCCTTATCAGCTTCTTTAATAACAATTTAATCATTTATTGAAAATATGTTCCGAGCCACTGGTTCATTTTTTTAAATGTTTGTTTGACATCTTTATGGGTTTACAGAAAGGGTAATCTTTGAGATGGTAAATAACTTTGTCCAACACTTTGTTATTACCAGGTTTGGGAGTTAAGGTGCTTTTGTGTTTAATAATGAAGTATGATTTTGGCATCTCAATTTTTCTCAGTCTATGGTCAGATATTGGCGCATACTCAGATTTATGGCAGATTATCATACAATATTAAAAATTATCACATAATGATAAAAATATCTATAGCGCTAAACGGCGCATATATTCGTGTATAGCGGCAGATCAATATTGTGATTTCTCTATTTTTACCATTTACCCTTCCGGAACAGCATCGTCGGTGCAGGGACTGCATATCGGTACTTTTCTTGAAAACGTATATGACATATTTCCATCCGCACCATCATATCGTTTCCCGGAGTTGATAAAATCCTGAATATTTTCACTTCTTCCTCACTGGATTTTTGAAAATCATGTAAAATGATTCGGCATTGGGGTGTTTTGATAATGGTTTCTTCCTCTGTCTGCATGAATCCGCCAAAAGAAAACCGTGCCTTATTTGTTATGAGAATATTACTTGGGGACATGGGTACATGGGGATGAGTAATCGTTGGAAAGACGTAAACAAAATTTGTGTCATGATATGCGTAAATACATTGACACAGTTTCCGTGTAGGGAGATATTAGCACTTTTGGACAGTGTGACTAATTTATGTGTCAGGCTATAGGAGTAAACATATTACCATTAGGGAGGTTAAATATAACAAACGCACTCACAACGTTGTGGGTTTCAGTTTTAGCAATATCTGCATGTCTCCACAGATCTACTTCATTTTAAAGTAATACAACAGCAATGTAGCTATTAATTATTATGAATCATGTATACCATTATGATTGCGTCAACTTAATACCCCATATTCATTAAAGACAATAACAAATGTTTCAGGAAGACATATTACTAGTTTTGTTTTCGTATGTTTGTTTTCTACTTTTATATTACATAAATATTTAAACTGAATTGTGCCGTATTCCTATTCCGGATCTTGAAGGTACCACATTCAAATTACAATTTGTATTTTATTATATACTTCAGTGTGAAAGACTGAGTCGTCCAAAGTTGAGAAAAGTGATATTTTCATAACACTTAATGTTTCACTGCAGTGAACATAACACTTTGACGGAGCTATTGTCACACAAGAGTTACCTCCCCTCAAATTGTCTCCCTTTATCGTAAGTGTCTGGCCCGTACACAAAGTGTTGGCTACCTTTTTACGTTAGTTCCACATTGATAAGGCAAAATAATGACAGATAGTAATTTATGGAGTTAATGTCGCTTCATGCCATTTGTTATTCTCTTGAAAATGTTTCGTTATAAACTGTAATTTTCTCAATTAACTCGTCAATCGAGGCTGTTCGTTTTGCTAAGCGCCATTTTTGTTACTTGACCAGCGTGTTTTCTTTCGCTTCCAACAGCTGTCTCGTACTTTTCAAGAATATTTTTTGTTAAAGTTGATTTTGTATATAATCATATCTATTTGTATGATACAGAATTTTCGTGACCCTAAAATATATTTTGTTACTTTTGTTTATATTGTTTAAGATTTTGCAACCACGAAACTATTTCTTTAGTCGCAAATACCAGAGGTGGTGAACCGTCCCTATGTGATAGGTAGGGAGAATATACGATTCAAGGTTTTCCATTTGTAATGAAATAATTCAATTTTCCGCTAGACAACTACACAAAAGGTATATAATAAATAGGATATTCCATGTCTTTTTAAACATCATGTTTCTCTCATCTCGTGACGGGGGAAACAGAGAATATTTCATGTGTCGAGTGAAATACTATGAGAAAAAACATATTACCACATTTGCTTTTCACCCAGACACCAGATTTGGAGTTAATGGTCCATCCTCATATGTACATTTTAAATCGTGTGTCTTGCCATGTTTTCCCAGTCCGTGGGTGTCTTTTTAATGCACTACATGCACCTCACGTTGAACAGAAGTGTGTATCTGATACTTCAGACTATATTATTACCATATGCTTTCTTCCATCCAGACGAAAGATTAACCAACTTCACTGTGGAGGTCCATACTTCTGACCCGATGACCAGCAACAACACCGGCCTACAAGTCTGCTATTTGCATGAAGGCACGGTGGGCAGAGGTCTGACGGTAGACTTGACCTGCGCCGTCAACACCATTGGACGTTACGTCAGAATAGTCAAGTACAACTCCGGTCTTCAGCCTTTAACCTTGTGTGAAGTGGCGGTAAGGGGAGCCCAAGTGCGCAACACAGGCGGAGGTAAGGGAGTTCAGGTGACCTAACACAGTTGAGGGAGAGGGATTGCTAACATTACAGCACCCCTGTCAAATTCTCTAGTCACTTTACTCCTCGAACACACATTCAGCTATCTGTCTGTAACATTTTTTTCATTTTTTTTACCATCATTTTTTTATTATTCCATTTTATGTATATTCTTACAAGTGTAGGTATCAACATGTATATATATGACAGTATTAACACAAGTTATAGTTTTCATAGGTGAGGAGAGGCAGGTTGTGTAGGATATGTCGTTTTCTCAAACTGAGAGGGAGATTATAAATATTTGTTTACAAGAAATAGATGATAACTAATTAACAGGTAGTATGTTTCAACTGCTTCGTTAGATTATGAGATGTAAGTTTTGCCATTTCTGAGCATATTGGTTGAATTGATTATTTGTTTTAGCGATAAAACTTTCCAAACAAATTGTGTCTTTAAGCAGTGTAAGAAATTGCTCGAAAGATAAATCTTGTTGTTTTATGTTTGATATGTAGATGAATCTTTTTGCTAGTATAATAATATGATTTGTTATATGGTTTTGAGTGGAAATACCAAAAAAGAGAATAAGTTTCGGAAGGATAAAATTTGTTTGCAGGTTGTTATTTAGGAAGTTTTCAACTTTAAGCCAGAATTGTTGAACAGATTGGCAATCGAAATATACATGAGACATATCTTCAGAAGCAGTTTTAGAGAAAGTACAAATATCTTCATCGACAAGTTTCATCTTGAGTAATTCTTCTTAGTGTAAATTATTCTGTTTATAAATCGATATTGAAAATCTAAAAGTTTACAATCGCGCGTGCAGTTTCTATAACATAGAAGTATATCTTGCCAATCCAAATTAGGGAAAAAACGTATTCCAGTGGTCTAATGATTTCGGTACTGTATCATTCCTAATTAGTTCATCATAAAAAGTCCTTGATTTTTTTAACGTTATTAAAAAAGTGTTTACATATATTTTTCAGCTGAACTACATTAACATCCAGGGTTTTGTCTCTGATTTGAAATCTCCAACTCTTTGGAATATTGTTCAGTAATTTTTGAAAGTCTAGAAAAGTTCCCTGGATCTTATATTTTTGTTTGAAATTTTCAAAACTAAGAAAACCGTTGTTGTCGCAAAGGTCTCTAACACTCTGGACACCTTGATTAAACCAGTTTTTTATAATATAAGATGATTTAAATAAATGATTCAGCCAGAGTGGTTGATTCAGAATGTGGTCTAAATCATATTCATAAAAACTCATTTTTTGGTAAAATATCTTCCAAGCAGACAATACATCTCTCCAATAAGGGTTGTCATGTTTAGATAAACATTCTACAGCATTAGAACCAAGTTTGAAAAGATGTTTTAGAGGAAAGATTGTTGTAGAATCTTCATGCTTTTTTATATACTTTTGTAATGAAGATAGTTTGAGAGCATTAATAACACATTCAATATCTATCATCCTTAGACCTCCATCTTCATAATTTCTTCTAATAGTTGATCTCTTAATTTTGTCGTTTTTGTTATTCCAAAGGAATCTAAAAATTAATGTGTTTAGGTCGGTAATAAAAGCTTTAGGTGGATTGGGTAGAGCCGAGAAGATGTGTACCAGAGTTGATATAGCAAGAGTTTTGATAACCGTCATTTTTCCAATAAGAGTTAAGGTTCTTCTACGCCAATTAGCTAGTAGTCTATTAATATGTCTTAGTCTTTTTCTAGTATTGATTACCCAAAGGTCGTTCAATGATGCATTTAAAGTTATCCCTAAAATTTCAAAATCTCCCTTATGCCAATCAAGTTTAAAGTCTTGTGCTGAAACTAGATTACTTTCAGACAATGATCCTATCCAAATTGCTTTTGCTTTTTCTACATTTATTTTAAGTCCTGACATTTGATAGAATTTGTTGAGGGTATCCATTGAAGTATTAAGGCTTTTTTCAGATGCATCTAGAAATAATTGAGCATCGTCCGCATACTGACCTAGTTTACTTTCCTTATCAATAAGTGTTATACCTTTTATATCTGGGTTTGTTCTTATCATAATACCTAGAATTTCTACAGCGATAATAAATAAATAGGGTGAAATTGGATCTCCTTGTCTACATCCCCTCTCAAGCCTAAAAAAATGATGATAGATGTCCATTTTGAATAACAGATGCAGTGGTATTAGAAGTCAAAATACCTACCCATTTAATGATATTCGGTCCAAAACCAAATTTTGTCATTACTTGTATTATAAAAGGTTTAGAAATTGTATCAAAAGCCTTTTCAAAATCTATTAATAGGAGTAGGCCAGGTTTGTTAAGTCTTTTAGTTTCAAAGATAATATCATAGAGCTTCCTAGTGTTTTCGCTTATACATCTACCTGGAATAAAAAAATTTTTGTTATGGTGTATGATTGTATTTAAGGTTTTTTAATTCTATTAGCAATACATGAGCTTATAATTTTATATAAAGCATTTAGTAATGAGATTGGGCGCCAGTTTTTTAACAATTTTCTGTCTTTGTTTTGTTTTGGAAGACAGGTGATAACTCCCCTGTTCAATGTACATGACAATGAGTTGTCATCAAAGGTTTCCTGTATGAATCTAAATATCCATTCTCCTAAATCATTCCAGAAAAAATTGAAAAACTCAATAGGGTAACCGTCTATTCCTGGACTTTTATTATTTTTCATAGATAAGATAAGATAAGTTTTTTTAATTTCCTCTTTTGAGAGATCTTTTTCTAGGTCATGATATTCTTTTGCATTCATTTTTGGTGTGTTGATTTCTTCTAACAGGTTGTTTTTAACATTATTATTTTTGTAGGTCTGTTTATATAGTTTAGAATAAAAATCCTTTAATTCATCTAAGATTGTTTTACCATCTGTAATAATTTCACCCTTTTCTGTTTTAATGCTATTAATTAGTTTAGTGGTATGATGTCTATTTTCAAGGTGGCAGAAATAACTTGTAGGTTTCTCTTCTTCTTCATACCAGGTTATTCTTTTCCTAATTAGGGATACTTTTACCTCCTCTTCATGGTATTTTTCTAACTGCTTTTTCATTGTTGATAAATCGGAAAATATTTTTTCATCTACATTTTGGAAATCATTTCTTATTTTATCTTCCAGAACCCTAATATATTATCTGTCTGTAACTTGGCGTTATGTCATCCCAGAGATGATGTTCTTCAGGAACCTGTTGATACCGCACATTACACAAAGCAATGTCTATGGTGCCAAGAACTCTCTGAATTACCTTCGTAGAACATAGCGTTGATAGGGATCTGTTAACTTTAAGATATATCGTCTGAAAGAAAGTAATTTGAGTAAATGAGGTACAGTAAACTGCGTTTATAACTAACATGCTTGTAACGAACTGACGTATATATCGAACTTATTTTAGTTCCGGCCATTGGAGTGAGAGTGAGTAAGGTTTTACGCCACTTTTAGCAATATTCCAGCAATATCACGGCGGAGAACACCAGAAATGGGCTTCACATATTGTACCCATGTCGGGAATCGAACCCGGGTCTTCGGCGTGACGAGCGAACGCTTAAACCACCAGGCTACCCGACCGTCCCTCCGGCCATTGGCTGTACATATGCTGTATATATGCTTATAACGAACTACGGTATTACGAACTAAAATTAGTGGTCCCTTTGAGTTCGTCATAACCGTAGTTTACTGTATCTGAATCGTGACTGTTGTTATTTAGCACGCTCGTGAAACTAGAGACGCCTATGTCACTTGAGTGTCACACTGACACATACAATGGGAGTGAAACATGTTTTATAAAAAAAAAAATTAAAAATTCATCATCATTTATTGTATTCAGACCCTAGGTCCATATACATACAATAATATTATATATATACAATTTTGTACATGTACAAGTATAAACATGCAGACTTATATGCACAGAGATGTGCACGTGTACAATTTTGTGAAAAATAAATCGCATCACAACACAACAGGAAGAGATTAAAGCATTTGATTAATAAAGGCAAATAACCTCAAGAATAATTAAACATCATTTGTACAAAGACGGTTGCGAAGTCGTAAACAATAATTAGTGTATAGGACAGTATTCTTTTGTTGCTCGTTAGATATTTCATCAAAACGGAGGAGCTTGATTAGTGTATTGATGTTTTGGGGTAAACCTTGGAAATATTTTGTTCTGAGCGATTCATAACATGGACAGATAAGCATAAAATGGTATTCGTTTTCAATAAATGTGGGGCAAAAGGACAAAAACGCATATTTAACCTATTTAATCTAAAACCTGTAAAACACACTCTTAGTTTTCTGTCTGTTATTTCTGTTAAGTACAATTCTGGAGATAAGCAGAATTTATTCTTATATCGGTCGTATCTTGAACTATTTTCCAATGTAGCTCTCCATTCTTGGATAAACATATCAGATGCAATTTGTTTAAATACACTAAGAAATGCTGTCTTATCTCCAACACCTTGGTAAATCCAAACATATTCAAATCCATGAAGAAATAAAAGTTGTCTGATTTTAGTGACCCATGTTATAAAATAATATATATTTTAAACTGCACTCATACATCTTATAGTATACATCCCTTAATATGTTTCAGTATCATATGCCGTGTTCAGTCGTCACAGCACAGGAGCCAGGGAGTCTCACAACATCATCGCCAGCCATGAAAACATCCGGAAGCCCGACTGTGCCAAGATGTGTCTCCGTAAGGCGACTTGCAACGCCTTCAACACCAGGTCTCCCTCAATGGGCGTGGTCAGTTGCGAGCTGCTGGCCGTGGCCCTTGACCCCGTCACTAATCCACCATGGGATGTATATGAGATCATCATGAAAAAATAATGTGATAGAAAAAGTTATAGTCCTCGCACGATTATATTTAGCAGTGTGTGCATCTCCAACTAGATAAATAGCGCTTTTTAAATACATCATGTAAACGTTTATCTTTCAGTCGGTTCTGGTAATGAGCGTACGCTTACTTACTTACTTTAACGTGCGCTTTCCGACATTATGCGTATTTCGTACACGGCTGAACGTACGTTGCACACCCTGCTAAATATAGCCGCTCGCAGTCACCTGACTGTTGACCTTTGCCCGGATTGTAGTCACGTGATGAGAACTCAATGAGAACAAAAAGGATATTTCTAGAAAAATCGCACAATGCTTTTTTTGTCATTACTGAAGGTAATATTTCTTGTCGCTTGAACGGCGTTTTTTCGCTTTAAATGTATTAACCCACATGCAGCTATCGTCTTTCATTAATAATAACGATATTCTATGTCAAGAGGCGAGGACTAAAGGTTCAACAGTTTGCCTTCAACTTAAGGTCTCCGTATATGGGCGTGGTCAGAAGCGAGTTGCTAGCCATGGCCCCTCGTTCCGCCGCCAATGCAACATGGGATGTGTATACGATGAATGGCGTTGAGAGTACAGCAGAGTGTGTGAGTGAGTTGGGGTTTACCCCGCTGTTACCAGTTTACCAGCTTTATCTAAGCAGTAGATACCACAAATGGTCTCCACTGCTCTCATGCTACGAATCAACCCCGGCCTTCTGCGTGACGAGCGAGCACTTTGATAATTAGGCTAGGCCTGGGAATCATTAGGCATACGCCTGGAAAGTTACTGACTGCGGCGGTGAACAACATTCACTTTGGTAAATTTTAAAATTCTGAAAAAAGGGCAGTTTCTAAAGTAATAAATATCATTATTATATAATGGGGGCGGTCGGGTAGCCTAGTGGTTAAAGCGTTCGCTCGTCACGCTGAAGACCTGGGTTCGATTCCCAACATAGGCACAATGTGTGAAGCCCATTTCTGGTGTCCCCCGCCGTGATATTGCTGGAATATTGCTAAAAGCGGCGTAAAACCATACTCACTCACTCACTATCATATAATAATATCACATTATAATTAAAATGGCGTATTTTTTAGCTTTCATAGACTTTTAAACGGAGAAAAATTTCACTTCTTTTTAAATAAGTGATATCATGGTATTAAATGTTCTAAAACAAATGTATGGAACCGTCAAGGATGTGTTTAGACTCAGTGTAACAGCACCCTATTTTGCAACTTCTTTCAGAGTACGCTGAGGGTGTATTTTGAGCCCTCTTCTGTTTTCTTTCTTTACACTGAACTTGTAAATCGTGGGTATGCTGCATGTTGTTTGTTTGTTTGTTGTTTAACGCCAAACTACGTCAGTATTCCAGCTATATGACGGC